AATCCGTCGGACGCAGACTCTTTCCAGCCTCAGTCACGGTCTGAGGCGGGATCTGTGCCACCGGAAAGACCTCTCATTTCTTCATCGAGCGCATCGTAAAGATTAATGCTGTCTACTCCCAACAACGCGTTCTCCGCGATGTACTGAAGCCATGGGTGTCGTAGCACTTCGGCCCGGATGGACACGTGCTTCAGCAAGACTGGGAGCCAGCACATCCTGCCAAACCCACGAACTGCCGCTTGTGAAGAGCTGCTTCCCGATTTTGGGGCAAGGACGTTTGGCCTCCCAACTAGCATGGTCCGAACCCCATGGATTATTCCATCTGGGTCGAAAAATCTCAGGAATTCGATGCGCAACGGTTTACCACCTGAAAGTGGCGTTGCTGCGTGTTTGGGACCAAACTACAGCAGAAGAATGCGCGACCATTGTCGGACACTTTGGAAAACGACTACGTAAATGTGTTGAGGCTGAAGGAGGCATTTTTGAACACTTGTTGGAACTTTGTTGTATACGGTCATTGGTACTGATTAGATGAAGACTCCCAGACGTTTAGTTGGCTGATTTCCTTTTTCGAACGGTATTTTTTATGCTACCGAAGTATTCCGAAAAATTGCCAGAACTTTTTGGTCACCCTGTAGATTAATATCGGAAAATCAGAGAACCACACGTAGGAATCACGCGTGAGGCAGTCAATATGATGTGAAACAGTTAAACTTTTGATTTTAAGGGGTAGTCCACCATGATCATATGGGCGGGGCCACTCAACGACTGCGCTTTCCTCATTGGTGGACCACTCGTTCCGCGGTGCTCAAGAGGGGTGTGTCAGCGGGAAGGGCAAAATGGTCTCTGTCTCCGCCCATGCTATCAGCGTGGACTGAGCCTCTTCTGATCGCACTTTCCTTTTAGCATGTTCACAAAAATGTGTACGGACGTCTTCGGCGGACAGTTCACAGCAGCTGCTATTCAGCAAAGCATCACCAGAACGAATCTTCGATATGGTGGAAGGGACCGCTACAAGGTAGGCTCACAGCACAGCGTACACGGAGAATAAAGACCGCTCCATAAGCTTGAAGGCGCGATTTTCAGGGAACAAATGTCGCCATCCCGAATGGATCCATCGACCCCTGGCATGCTCTCGGCAAATACACAAATAACGATCCGTCTGTATTTTGGTATCTTATCAACGGTAAGTGAATGCAGAAAAAACGATAAAGCAGTCGTTTAATCATTCACGAGTGCTGTTTCCCTTACAGGCAGTGGGGACGAGTGCTGGGGGCGGGCGGTTGTCGCCAACGTCATTGGTGGAAGGGCTGAGTAGGGTAACGCTCTCTCACAGCCCTTCCAATAACGACGCTGGCGCGACAACCGCCTCCAGCCATCCTGTCCACTTCTCCTTAATAGGAGGCAGGGAGAGGGGGGGAGGGGAGGACAATGATACAGAAGTTATGATATCAGAGTCCCATGGGCACGGATGGAAACAAACTGCTGCTCAAATTTGGCGCCGATCAGTCAGGGTAAAGCTCGTGACTAGAGCCCCATGGAGGAGACATACTTGATCGTTAGGAAGGGAATCGTATTCCATCAAAGGAGGTCGTATTTCGCTTCGACAGAAATTCTTTCCGAGCCGCCATAACCTTTCTCCTAGGTAGTTGACTTTTCGCGATTTTTTGCCTCTCATAGTTACATACGCGTTATGTACTCACTCAAATTGGTGCGCCGCCTTCTAATAGTTGACTAATGCCGCCTCCCCCCCCCCGCACTCATCCCGCTTTTTTCAAAAAAGTGGTCGGAATTAAGGAAAACTCAGGAATATGGTGAGTGGCGTTGCGGTAGGGTCTCATGATATGAGGAAATTTGGCAAGACTGGTGGGAAGTTAAGAGATCGTAGGAAGATGGTAGGATGGGAAACGGGAGGTGGGGGAAGGTCGTGTCAGGTGAGGACATCGGGGTGCGGGGGTCGTACTGACACCGCCATTTCACACTCACTATACTCTTCTGTACCCTGTCAGCAGCACCTGTGGAACAGATTATACTACACTATTACGTATCCCGGGAGTGTCTGAGGGTGAGCATAAGCGTATAAAAGACTTTTTGGGTGCCAACAGCTTCCTCTATGGAACAAGTGGCTTTAGAGGGGAGGAAAAGCTTGGCTACTCAGGTGGGAGATGGTCTCCCGCTCGTTCAGTTATGAGGAGGGTCCACTATGACATAGAAGCTATTCATCAACCTGAGCTCAGCTAGAAGTCCATCAAGCTTACGAAAATGTGCTCCCCCCTCCTCGAAGGAAATAGCGCCCCTCGCGTATGTGCCTCTCATGGACATGCCCGTCTGAATGAGTGAACCGGGGTGTGTCACTGATGCGTAAATCGCTGGAGCGAGTGCCACCAAGGTTCTTACATCAAATTGGTCTGCGGCTTTGGGCATTCAGGTGTAGTTGGCGAGGGAGGCGAGGCTGCGCCGCTGCGCCCAGAAACTCACGCCCCCCGACAGGGTCAGACTACTTTTGGTGAAAGACTGTCAATATTGGATTAACACGCTGTTTTGGAGTCTACATACACTCGAGACGAAAGGATTCAACCTCTCAAACCACGTGTAGCGAGTGATGCGACAAACGAGAATGGGAAAAGTGGGGGGGGGGTGATGGGGAAGGAAGGGTCTCAAACACAATTTCATCGTCGACCAGTTGGCGTGCTTAACGGCGCCCTCATCGCTACAGGTCGCATTTTTCGGCTGTTAGTAAGAGACAGTAACGTTCGTATCTTCAGGAACAGCTCATTGCGCCGATATGTATCCAGCCCGACCGGAAGATGTACCTGATCTCGCAAATGCACGCCGTTTGATCGAAAGCAACCTTGCCATGTGGATTTCCGAAGCACCACGTACCTCAAGTCCACCAGCAACAACATGGCATCCAACAGTTCCAACAGTTCCTCCAGTGGTTAGCACGGCAGCACCTTACGAGCCATCCACTCCACAAGGTGGAAACCATGGTAAGATTCAAATCTTTGTTGTCAGGTTTCAGTACCCGTCATGGTGCCCCATTAACTGACCTGAGTTTCATTTTCAGCCCCTTCAAACATCATCGTGTCAGTTTTATGCTGGGCTATCATTAAGACATTCTTGTTGTGATCTTTGCTCTCTTCAATGGACTGAAAAGACCTCAAAGTCCAAAAGGAAGTTCATATGAAATAATTTTACAAAGTTGCCTTGA